CCGGTGGCGGGCCCCTGCTCACCGGCGGCGCGGCCGTGCACATCTCCGCCGCCGGCGCGGCCAAGGCCACCCTCTACTGCCGCGTCTTCCTGCTCGACGGGACCGAAGTGAGCGTGGACCTGCCGGTGAGTGCCGGGGAGGGTCCGGGCCACTGACACCCGACGGCCCGCGGGGCAGCCCCCCCCCGCCCCCAGGGCTTCCCTCCGGGACGCTCCCCTAGCTCCTTTCCGGGGATCCCCTCCCCCCATCGCCGCCTGCCAGTCCTCCTTAGCCTGGCGCCCTCGGGACCGCGGATTCGGGGCTCCTCCAGGGCCTGGTCTTTGGCCCCGCTTGCCCCCACCCCCCTGGCTTGGCACGCTGCGCCGCAGGCTGCGTCTTCTTCAGCGCCCACCTGGTCTCTGCGGCCTCGCCCCCTGCCCGGCGCGCAGCGTCCCCGTCCCTTGGCTCGGGGTGGCTGCTGTTCCCGCCAGGATTGCCCCCCACAGACAGGGGCCTTCCCGAGGCTGGGGTTGTCATTTCAAAGCCGTACGGGGCTGCCACGGGGCGTTCCGCACCCGCCCGCAGGCCTCTGAGAGAACGTGGAAAGAAGCTTCGCCAGCTACCCAGCAGGTGCCCCCGAGATAGTGGGAGGGGACTGTGGGGGGGAGGGTACAGTTTCTCCTCGCCGCGGATTCCCTTCTGGTGGTCCCCATTCCTAGTCTAGAGAGTCCCCCTTCCCGGACGTCGCTAGGAATGGAGCTACTTGAGACCTAACTCTGGTTAACTTTGCTCTGATCGAGACCTTGGGGTGCTTGGGAGTTGGCCTGGGGCTCCCGCGGGCCTGGCTCACTCGACTCCTCCCCACTCCCAGCAGCGTGCGTGGGGCCGGCCGGGCACCAGAGGACGGCAGTGCCCGGGCCTGCGTCCCCGACAGCCGCCCACAGGTGGTTGCACCCGGGCCGGTCTCTCCAGCAGAGAGCTAGGCCGGCGCTGCTATCCCCGGCAGGGCGTCCAGCCACCACCGTCTTTCTGGCCCAAGGGGCCAGTCCGATCCAATCAAGCCCACACTTCAGCCGGGCGCCTACGGTCACCCGGGCGCTGCGGCAGACGGCGCCTTCGGGACTCTCTAGGCAGGACTGAGGACACCGCAGTAACTGAGCTTTCCATGAGTTAACAGATCATCCCGAGGGGTTCACGGGAAGGAATAACATACCCCGACTTGCAAAGAAAGCATGGAGGCCTTTCCTGGGCGGCAGGAATTCTTTGTGGAGTTCAGGAGAGAGCTGGGTATCAGATGAGAAAATGAGAGCTGGCCTGGCCTGGGGCTGAATGCTGCCCTGTGTAGGTTTAATTTTGAGACCGTTTCGATTTATGGCGTTTTTTAAATTTATTTTTGTACTTTCCTGTGCGCCCCATGGATATAATTTCGTTATGCAAACACTTTTCAGGGCCTTTCTATTCATGGGAAAGGAGCCAACATCTCCATGCTTGGAGATGTGGTCTTTAAAATAGCATTAAACTGATAACTGCTTCTCGAGTACTGACACTATCAAGCTTCTCCTCCCCCGCGGACCCCCTCCCCCTCCCCCTCCCCACCAAGCTGGTAGGGGAGGCTGCTGAGAAGGAGAGGAGAGAAGAGGTGAGCAGGCAGTCTCCAGAGTGGGCAGCTTGGGTTTGGAGAGAATGTGGCGTAGTTTGTATCTGGGAAAGGAAAGCTATCCTTGGGAAGTTTGACAGTGCTCCTTGCCAGTGGTTTTGTTGTCTGTTCCCCAGGGGATAATTCGTTGATAAAATGTATTGCTACTGTCAGGTTTGTGAGACAGGCTTAAGTGATGTTTCTGAGATGAAAAATGCAAACGGAGTAAAAGTGCATGCGTGGTAAATAGACCCAAACAGGTAGGCAGAGGAACAGACTGAGATGGGAATGCTGGTTTACTGCAGCTGGTAGAACCCTGGCAGGGAGCAACGGGGGTGGGGTGGGGGGAGGATTTGCATCCTCAAAAGCTACAGAGGAATTCATCCATCCCAGGTTTTCTTGTGATAGCAGATTTTTGGATGCCTTTAAGATGTGATTTAGTGAACCCTAGAGTTTTATTTATGTACACAGGCATATGCCTGTGCACCTTGTCCAAAGGCAAATAGAAAGCAAATGCTGGCTTTTGTCATGTGAGCTCTCTGGGAGGAAAGATGAAGAAAAATTACCAGTGAGCACGGCTCATCGATTTAAAGATTTATTAGATATTAGAACTGCATTGCTCAGTCTCCTCCACTAATCTTGCCAGATCAGAGTGTTAGTTCCTGTAATTAATTCTCCCAGTTACGAGTGTGACTGCCAGGCAGCCTACCCTGGGGAATCTGTAGCGTTTGTGCAGTTCCTCTGACGCACTCTCCTGTGTCCCTTCTTATGCTGTCTCTTCAGGCATATAGTCTCACTTGTCTGTAGTTTTTGAACCCCCCCCCCGCCCTCCCCCCTTCCTGGGCATTGTCTAGATGCTTGTCACACAGATAGGATTTACCTTTGACCTCCATACTCCTAAGCTTCTTTTACTGTCCTGACCATGTCCATAGGCATCCATGGGCCTGGCCATGCTGACTGTGGCTCTTTTGTAATTTAAAATACAGAACAAAAAAACCCTCTGTGGCATTAGCCTCAAGAATACATTTACTCAACATACAAAAGTGGTAATGTGTTGTCATAAACCTTTTTATTAGCCTAGGTCAGGACACTTGGGTTCTGAAATTGCCTGGTACACAATAACTCCCTCAGTGTGACTGCTCTGTGGCACCTCCGTCCAGTTAGTCATCATTCATTGGGTGTCTTTAATGTGTCAGACTCTGCTGGGGACACCAGGCTGAGGGAGACATGGCCTGGAGGCTTCTAAGGAGACACAGGTGGATACATGGTTTTTTCTTCTTCTGAGAGGTGCTAAGTGATAAGATGGATAGACCTGGTTGACTAGACCTGGTGCCAAGGATGGATGGTATGGAGTAAATAGGCCCTCCTGGAGTTTTTGACCCTTGAAATGGTATCAATTCCAGTGCCCCTTGGCAAAGCCATGGTCCAGTTATTATGTGTAACAAGGAAGAAGCCGTTGTTCTCCAGCAAGCCTGCGCTGACAGGCTTGGAGCCCTAGCGCTCCCGGTGTCCTTAACCTTTGCAGTGGGCAGTCACTGTTTTCTCAGTTTGATAAAGTGTGAATAAAAAGATCCTTCCTAAAAGTGCGTGTGTGGCATGCAGTTCAAAATGGGCTTGCTGTGGACTCAGCTCCCAGGTGTGTCCTTGGCTTACCTTGCAGAGAAGGCGGTGGGGGTGGGGAGTGCCACCCGGAGCCATTGCTCCTCAGAAAACTTGGTTCTGCCTTGGTGAGCCCCTTCTTCCTGTTTGCCCAGACTCAGGTGTGGTCCCTGTAGCCTCACCATGCCTAGCCCTCAGGGGTGGACCTGTGAGGGCAGGACCTATGGAGAGAGCCAAGCACTTTCCTTCTGTGAATGCGGCTGAAGACCCATTGGTGTGCTTTGGCAGCAGCACCCACTGTTGACTCGTATTAGCGCTCTGTTGACTAAATCCCTGGCATCGCTTGTGCTTGGGCGGCTGCAGCTCTGCCCCACCTCCATTGCCTGCGTGTGCATGCAACCCTCTAGTAGCAACTTGGGGGAAGCTGTTTGGATATGTGTCTTGCCGATTAGCATTTCTTGCCATGCCTTGCAGGGGACACCTGGTTGGCCAGCATAGCATCCGGTGTGATTGTTCTCACTGTGTCTGCCGCTTAGAATTTACTTACGATGCCGAGAGTCCCAACCTGCCTCTGCCACCTTGGGCAGCTTCAGCTGTCTGAGCATTGATTTCCCAGGCTTTCACACAGGAGGATTAAATGATGAAAAGGATATAAAAAGCCTTAAAAAAATTAAAAAAGAAACAACAAACAAAAACAGCAAGATGCAGGAGAGTTGCGAAGAGGTTGTAATTTTGTAAATGTGTGGTTCTTACTCTTTGGACTGTGGAAAGGATTTGGGAAAAAAATCTTCTAAGACTGAATATTATTAAAAGCAAAAAGTTGTGGCCAAGTGGGGTAGCCATTGCTTGGCTCTTCTTTAGTGGAAATTGAAAGTCAGATGCAGTAGGGATGCTTTAAAAAACAATCTCACTTTGAATTAGAAAAGAATCTCCTGTTGGGGTTGTCAAATGAAGGGCAGGTTGATAGTAGCTACTCAGCCATTGTACCTATGGGACGCTGAGACCTGGGGCTTGGTGACTTCCTTTAGTCACTCTAGTGAAAGAGTTACAGTGGGTTACTTTAGTAACCCATTTAATAGCCTTGCAAAGGTCAGCTCTCCCTCGGAAGGGTGAGGCATGTTCCTGTTGGAAGTAGGCTAGATCTTCCCAGTCAGTGGGAAACTATTGCAAAATGACATTCTCACCTTAGTGTATATGGGCAGGGGCTTCCTGTGTTGTCCAGGCTAATCTACCTCAGTCACCCTAGTGCAGTGACCACAGCTGTGTGCCACTGCATCCACGCAGCTCATCTGTAACTTTTGCCCTTCCAATTAAGTTTTCCATGTTCTTACACCCCCACCCCCCCGTCCACCCAATTCCTGATCCAGTAGTTGAGGGATCTGGGCTTCTCACAAGTTCCTCACTGAAGATGATTCTGGTACCAAGGGTTCCTTCACCCTGTGCACTCTGGTTCTAGAACACTGAGGCCCAAACCAAGGGTGGCTGCACTGTCTGTTGAAAATTGCTGTTGAGTCTCTGAGCCCAGGATGGACTTGGTTTTGCCACAGTAGAGTAGAGGTTAGGTCAGAGATTCTGGTTGCCACAGATACCTTGTTTATTCACAGCACCTCCCCCTGGCATCAGTATTGGCTAATGGTGGCCCCATCCAGTCATGAATGTACTGTAGGGAGCCTTGGCTGTCCATAAGGATCATGAATTTGTATTATTTCTGCAAATACCTTTCTGTGTTTTAAAGGAAAAGTTGGAGTGGATGATGAATGAACACCCTTCTCTCAAGGAGTATGCTAGAGCTCTAATTCTGGTTCATCCTTGCTGGACCACCAGTGTTAGTACAGGGAGAGGAGGTTAGTCTGCATGTGGGGGTGGGGTCTGTCCGGCCTGTCCAGGGCCAACATGACCCTACAGTGGTAC